ATTTACAACAAAAACTCAAAATTTATTGTGGAAAACTATAATGGCGTTTTTTACTGCTAGTAAGACCTTGATGCGTCCGCAATTTAAGTGCGTTGTTATTCTAAGTGTTTGTTTTTAGCCAAAAGGAAGCACGCTAAATAAAGCATGATAGATGCTTGTCTATAACGCGCTCCTCGCTTCCGTTCGCTCGTGGCGCGCTGTTTTGTGCCCCTCGTGGGTCGCCCACTTACAGCCGCTCACCTATCCAAATCCCTGGGATGCCGTGAACCGACGCAACTACAACTACACCCATGCCGGGATGTAACTTTGCTTTGCCACGTACAAAGACCGCGCAGAAGAAGTGGTTGGGATCTAGGTGTGCAAGCGTCTACATCTAGGATGGCCCAATCCATTTTGCGAGCAAAGTAGCAACTCTAGTGGCGCCCCATTTCAGTTTACGGCGTTCTACCATCGACACACTCGGGGAGACATCGTATTTACGAGCTGGTCAACGCTCGAAATGAAACACGATCGTTGAGTAGTTTTAGTTTACAGTCTAATAAAGTCCTTTTGCAACTCGCACTTTTTAATTTTCATCTGGAATACGCCGAGAGAGATTAAAACACGTCAATGTAAAACTTAATAATGTCGGTTCCGGGGATGCTATTAAAAGTTTATCGTCGTATTTTTACGAGCGACGTTTTCATATAATTCGTCATTTGATTCCATCCGACTTTTATTTTACTTACACGTAGATATGCGGTATTAATTTGCGAACTGTAATGAAGATTTTTTGTTGTGGCTGCGGTTGAAGAAGAAAATTTGATTGTTGGTTCGATGGGACGAAAATCTCGAGCAAATTAAAAAGTTTCAACCCTTAGCGCAAACGCAAGAAAGAGCCTGGAAAGCATTAAAGGTTCGCCCGTGGGCCGTTTCGGAACGAACGGCAATTGAATTCGATAATTGTTATTTGCGGCCGCCTCTGGAGGAGCGAACGTGTGCATGCTAAAATCCTGCGCTCTTCCTTGCTTCCATCGTCGCGAGAACCTTTATTCGAATTCACCTCATCAATATATGCCCGAGAGTTCTTATTTTTTCAGGTGGGGGGTGCAAATTTTCTCATTTACAAACTGTTGCCGAAAATACGAAAAACTTTCTTATGAATAAAAATATTTTTTGTTCATTTTGGACTTTCAAGAACAGCTTGTAAAATTTTACAATGCGCTTAAATCCGAGGATCAGTTTGGTTTGGTTGCTCCCTAACTCAATAGACGTCATCGGCGGAGGAAAGCACTTAAGCAAAGAAGTTAAATTAAAAGTTTCCCGCGGGACAAACTTAATATAGGTATAACGCAATCGTTAGATCCTGATCGGTTTTAGTCTTTTGACTTTTATTTGACTACGTATAAAAATCTTTTTATTTTTTATTTCAGTTATTTGAAGAAGTGTATAACTGCGAGTTCAAGCACTATCACACTTTCAATAGGTACTGCTGCATCAAATAACAAAAATAAAAAGTTTCTAACAAAACTTTAATCGAAAAAGGTGTGTAATTGCTTCGGCGAGAGCAGCGCGCGGTAATCTGCGGGCCGCCGCCGAGTATTTTCTATAAGTGCATGAAAATGTGATTATGGTGGCGCACGCGAACACTTTTTCAATTCCTCTATATATCGCATTCCCGTCGCAAACGTCGGTTCGTGTTGCCGTGTGCCGGCGCCGTATTCGATTCGATATTCCCACATTATAATTCAGCGTTTCGAAAGCGATACGAAAATTGGAAATTACACGTGCCCCACACACAGCCTCCCCCCCTCCAGTCAGCCAAAAAATATCAAATTCCATTTTGTTCACGCGGTGATAAACGAATGTCGTCGGCGAAATTAATGCGAGTATGAAGTTGCGCGCGCGGGCGCTGATTAATGACGCGACATGCGAAAATGCAGTGTAAACAGTAATTTAGCAAATTATGAAGCGTGCAAGCGCATGTGTATAGGTATGTGCAAGGAGGAGCACCCACCAGGAAGCGGCTGGAACAAATGGGTGTGGCTGTCCGCTAGACCGGAGGCGGCAATGCCGCCAAGCAAACTCACTTCTATATAAACTTCTGTGTGTGTGGATGTGGAGTGAAAACTGGCGAGCAATTGAAATTTATCGTCCTCGCCCAAGACGTCGCGCACTTAACCGATATATTAATTAAAACGTATTTATTTGGATGCGATAAATCACACTCAATTTCACACCAGCAAGATGGCGCCACTATGCCACAAGTCAATTCATATGCGCATACATAACCTTAAAATTATAACCTTATTTATGTTTTGTTTCATTTTAAACCAAAACTGTTGGCAATACAATGACTCATAAATGTAATAAAGTAATTTATTATGAAATTAATTATATTTCATGTAAAAATACATAAAACTATGCAAAACTTCACAGGAGAATATTATGCGAGACACACGCCGGCTGTGTTATTTTTTTGTGTGAGTTTGATACAGGTTATATCGTATAATTAGTTTCTGAACGTACTTTATGCAGGTTTGCTGCAAGGTAATATACATTATGAACACGAATGTTGTTATGCGTAAACTTCCGCGCTTGGTTTATGTGTTGTATTTGTTTCATCCACGACGGCGTTATATACCATTATACACATTGTTCAAACGCACAAAATTAAATAACAAAATTAATTGAAGATATTGATGGGTATCATGTCCAATTAATAATTAATAATTAATAAATCCACTGTAATTTTATTCTAAGCTGTTTTTGGCTTTTTTTATTGGATATAGGTGAAAATCTAGGACATTACAGGTTCAGCCACCACTTAATCATTTATTTATGCACGCCTCTGCATTGTTAACAAGCGCAAACGCGCGCCGTGTGTGCGCATCCGGCGTTTTTTGCGTACACCATACACTGTAACCGGGCCCACAGTGCCCCATCGCCGGCGGCGCCGCCCGGAATAGTTAACGGCTAATTAAGTTACGCAAACAAGTTTACGATTTTAAAGTGGATAATAGTTTTACTTGATGTTCGTTCAACGCGAGCACGCGCGAATATCAAAACGAACACGCCTCGAGTAACCAGAGGGCCGCGTCTCCCGGACCGGAAGTTAGGCGCTTATGAATTTCCAGCGTGAATCGCTGGAAGTTCGTTAAATGAATTTATGCGGGAGTGGTAGTCCTGCGTCGTGTGTTTGGCGATTAAATTAGTTTCAGTTGTTTTCCAATGTTACCTGCGTTGCATAAAAATATGCACTCAACCAAGGCTATCCTAACCTCATTCAACTTGACACTATGGATATCGAGATGTAAATTGAGAGTTAAAATCGATGTAAAGCGAATCGAATGGAAATTCAAAGTCTATCGTGGGTCTGCGGATGTGTTGCACCGCATACGAGCGCAGCCATAACCTCAACTTAAACGACTATAAAACCTAACCTAGATCCACGCCGCGACAAAGAGCTGCGCGCACTCACATTTTTACGCGTTCGTAAAGCGCTATTAAATTTTTTAAACCCCGTTATCGACGCGAGGGACGTGCGCGACGAATTACTTCGACTCGGTGGGGTGGCGAGCCGCTGCTAATTCGCTTAGCATATAAAGCTAGAAAACATGCAAAGTAGGCGCCGCTCCGACAAAACCACCGCATTTCTTCGGCCAGCATAGAGATTCCTAGCTGTCGGAGCCATATTCGATGCTCACGGATTGTCTTGTTGCGTTGTCCGTACAGATTTACATAATATCCCGCAATGTGCATAAAGTAATAATCTATTTTTTCCGCAAGATGACGCCACATACACTAAAACAAGAGTAGGTATGTTATTTGGTCAAAAGCATTAAAATGTCATGTGTGTAGGAGTGATTTTTTTGACCCTGCAAAACAAGCAATCCAACCACACAACGATGAGTTTACCCCACGGTGGCGACGAGGGCTTTACACCCACCATAACAATAACCGTGCTAGAGTCTTTCCACCGCGCACGCCGTTGAACCTAATTTCGCACGCAAACATCGGGATTAAGATAATCGGAGCGCGTTTGCTTTTCACATCCTCTGCTCATCGTCTTGTTTGGTAGAAAGCGTGTTCTAAACAACACCTATATCCTACATACCTCGGCTCGGCGTGAAATATTTTTTGCGTTTGTCCATTGTCTTTATTAGTGCATTTCCGGCCTGGGGAAAGGAGGTTCAACCGCGCGGATTTTAACGACGGCGAAATTATGAGGACAAAAGATTAAGGGCGCGCACAATAAAATTACGAGCTTTACGACTTTCGGCTCGTGTTTTTTAACCGCTCGAGACAAAGCGGATGCGGAATGCTTTGCCATTGAATACGATGGGTGTGTAAGGATGATGCGAAGACATGTTGCCACGTTCACTACGATATAAATTATATTTTATGAGTTATGAAATAAAATAGCGGTTTTACGCGTTAATTGTGTATGGAAAAAGGTTATTCATCCCAATTATTGATTTGCTTCAAGAGACAGTGGAGTAATGTATGTAGAACTTAGAATGACAGAAGTAATTATTGCGTATGACATCAATTATCATCATGTTCAATGCAGACGATGGAGTTCACCTGCCGGCTGGGGTTCTACTACCAACATGTGAAATCCATCCGCAAAATGCATTCGTAAGTCTTGCGGGGCTGGTTTACGAGCGCCGTAAACGTCATGTCGAACGAGCGGTGCACTTTCCGGATAGATTAACACAACTAGACAAACCCCCTTTGCACTGAACCACTAATAGTAAAGTTTTACACTCAAAAATTAGAGTTTTGTGGTTATGTTATGTTGTGAGGTTATGTATTGCGGTATATTCACAGTGCACATTTTTCGTTTCCTTACGGTGCAAATAGTAAAGTTGTGCGCGTCGCTGGCGCCTGTTCGCGCACATCCCCCAGCTGGATCCGCAGGACGCCTCCACAGCGACGGGCTCGGGCCGGTTCGCTCGCCGCCGCCCGCTACATATACGCACCCGCGGCGTTCGCGCGCCGCATTCAACTCGCGAACACGCAGCAGCGTCGGCGTCGCGACGCTTCGGATCTCTCGTAAAGACGGCGAGCATATCCGCGCGCGGTGAGCGCGAGACCGGAACGCACGGTCCATCGCACTACGCTGCTATCACAAGTAAAAAGCTCGTCGCCTCGACGCACTCGATAGAACAGAGAACACAGCGCCAAGAAAACGCCCGCACGGCGCGTCGGGGCGGTGTGAATGTGACAAACAACAAGTTGTAGTATTTTTTCTAATCCCTCGCACTGGGGGAGGTCGGCGGCGACGATGAACCTTCGTAATTCGACGCTCAGTGTTTAGTTAAGTGTGAAACGCAAGAATTAATTGAGTGCTACCACGAAACTATGTTACAGTGAACCAAACAAGCCACAAACTTTCCCAACTTGTACCATGGAGGTTAGCGCAGCAAAGGATTTTTTCCTGCGGCTGCTCGTCGTAAATCTACTAGGCACATTTTACGGTACGTTAAACACGCTTAATTTTTATTCATTTATTAGTTTATTATTCATGAAGCAATTAAAGCAGACCATAAATCTTTGGCGGAAGAAGATAACAAGGTGAATCAATAAATAAATAAAACTAATTGATAATTAATTGTTTGCTATCAAAACAAATGTGTGGGTACAAGGAAAAGAAAATGACAAATCGTTTTCCGCATGGCGTGGATAAATAAAAGTGGGCCGGTGTGCACGCAGAGGAAACGAACCCCGGCGATGGCAATAAGTTTTTATTATCTTGAGGCGTGTGTGCTCACGCCCGATCCCCAACGCATCCGTTGAGAGATTTGCCCAGGCTTGTTGATACGTTCATGTGGGGATTCTGAACGAGAGGCGTTGATTAAGTTTCCACCTTGTTTCCAACTTGTTTCCGCAATTTGTCAATTTTACCTCCTCACACACACACACTACAACTACAAAAGTGAGCAAATATTAAATTTGAGGTTAGTTTTATCTGGTGCGCGCAATTTACTCGAATATTAAATAGAAAGAAATTGCAAGTTTCCCAATTTGACTGCAAGATGAGAGTTGTGCAACCTAGTTAGCAACGTGAACATCTTTCGGGTATAGTGGGTTGCGGCTAGGAGGCGAAATAACGAGGGCAGGTAGTTTTAGCCGGAATATGTGCTCGTTTCGATGTGTTCCATTTTCGGTCCTCGCCTGGCCTTCATAACCGTCCACGTTTCTGGCCATTTAAATATTTATCTTGCGCACTTGCATTTTGTTCAACTTTTACGGCATTTTAAGGATAACTACGTTTTAAAACAGTGAATTTATTAATGTTATCAAAATTAATATGAATTCATTAAAAGTTTTGAATATTATTTAATTTTATTATGAATTTCATGCAACACTTTGTATAAGAAAATATCCGTAGTGTGTAGTTTTGCGCACAGCAATTTCATAGCGTTTAAAAATGCAGGAAAAGTCGTACCAAGTCACGAATGGAACGACCAGCAGATGACGTTGCCGTTTCAGGACAAACTGAAGAAAAGCTGAAAGTGCATGCGAACGAATTTGATATCTCACTCATTGTTACATTGCATAACTCCTCCTCGTCGTCGTCGTCGTTGCCGTTGGGGAAATTTTTGTTTTCATTTCCGTTTGCTGCGCATCCCATCCGTCGCCGTCGAGTACAACTCCTAGTTTTCATAGTTTATGTTTTATGTCCGCCCATCTCGGCGTCTTTAAAGGAGATATGAGAGGAAAGTCGCGAACAAGGCGGATTCCACTTTTGTGCTGACTTCTCGAATGCGTGTAAGGTCTTGACTTCATCTCATATCCATCGGGCTGGAGGGCCTTCAGCCATCGTTTTTATTACGCATCAATCTTGATAATGCTCCTTTTATATGTATACGTATACACAATATCGCCTATAGATGGACGTATGAATACCAGCTCGTTTTTCGGTTCTTTCTTGCAACGCGCTTCGATTTCTTTTATTTTTATTTTTTCCCGGCTAGTCGACGGGCAAAATCGAAGGCAATGAAGGAGCATTTCTTGGGACAAGAGACAAGAAGAAGGATTATGGGCATTTAGCTGCAAATTGAAGGCGCCAGACACAATTTTTCCGATTGCTGCCCCAGCGTGTCGCCTCCTAAGTAAAAGAAATCTTAAAATACTATCGTTTATCATAAAATTTCATTTGTTGCACGAACTTTTGATTACATTTCTTGGTATAATATACGTATATAAACCGGAGAGATTTTTTTTTGCATTTGTTTCGTATTTTATTTCCTGGAATTTTTTATAAGCGCGGAATAATTTTATTTGTTGCATTCTTTTCTTTTTACTATAGTCGCCCGCATTCGTTCCGGTCGGTTTCGTGCGTTCGTGCGTGAGGTACAGGTTTATTGCGCGCTTAAAATGTTGAAACAAACTTTGGCCCGCAGAGCGCACCGTAAACAAACACGCAGGACGATAATGCATAAACTGTTGCTACGCACGCAAAATTTCCATCTTCCGGACAATCTTTTCGCTCTTCGCATGCGGTCGGTCGGTGGAAGCCACCGGGTGAAAAATGGAGGAACAAATTCATAAATTCAACAAATTTAATCCGTTATTCTTCCATCTGGACGGATCAATTTCCGACTACCCACTTTTTTTTATTCTCTGAGGCACACGTTTCGTATGCATACTCAGTCCAATTCTTTTAACGCAGGGTGGGAGAGATTTTTTCCTCTCGCGGAGAGAACTCTTTTTAGTCCTGGAGCGCCCATCGCCCATTTCTCATTGATTATTACATTCAGACGTGCAATAAAATCCGTCGAAAAATAAATTACCTTTTTTGCGTATTTTTTGGTACTCGCTAGGCGAAAGCACAAACGTTTGCGCGTTTTAAAGCCTGGTGTGCCGCTTTGGGGGCGGTTGGGTCGCACTCTGTGAATATTGCAAATGAATGCGGTCGTGCCATCACGTTGGCCCTGTGTGAAGTTTTTATGGTCGACTAACACCTATTTCGAAATCCATTTGAAAACTATTTTACGGCGTGGGAACCAATCTCAGAACAAAACTTACTCAACAATTGCTTATTTTATTTTAAGTGGAAGTAGATATTAATTTTCAATACTGCTATCAGATGTAACCTGTCGCGGTGTGTGAAGCAACGCCTAAACCATTATCACACGTAGGTATATCATGCATTGGGAGTAATTGTGCACTTTCGTTCGAAGAACACGCTCACGTGTAATACGATATATAAACATGGGGCCACAGCCGTCTCGCGTTTCACACATCAGCATAATTGTAACATTATGGTAGCTATCAGCCGCCAGAGGGGGCTCTGCGCTGCGAAAGTGTGAAGTGCGTTAAACATGATACGATTATCATCTCATGTTTGAACGAATACGGAAGCATGTGTATTGTGTACATTGTCGACCTTTTTCTTGCCGCTCAATTCTTTTGTTTGCAATTATTCGCGACTCTTTGCAATGCGATGATTTACACGTTTACAGCACAGGGGAGAACAAAGCGAAAGAAATTGATAAAATGTTGGAATGGCTGAGTCAAAAGCAGCCGGACGAGTTTAGTGCACCCTCAAGACCGATTCGCCGAGTGCAGCGTCGTGATTATTTATGGTGTGCGCCAATCCACCCCCGCCTTAGCTTTTTATCATCTGCGAATGTAAGCGGCAGTGACGTGGCGAGAATAATCTTAATATTTTTCAAATAAAAATTAGAAATTAAATTAAAATTATGTTATGTTTTTTTGTTTCTTATGCTTGATGAAGGAGTATTTATTATCGTCACTGTCAGACGAGACTAGTTCCACGCTAAAAACCCAATCTAATCGTGTCATCTGTATTTATAGCATTTCAAAGATAAATATTTAATGTTCGACGCGAAGACGCCGCACAATCGTCTGCGGAATTTCCTTCTATATTTTTTTCTTCTTTCGCTTTTCTTGCGGCTGCCATGGCCTCGATCTGCGCGATTCTCCTTTTATCATCATCTTCAATCGCGATGGCACGACGGCAGCACGCGCACGCGATAGTTCTTTGAGCGTGTTTATTTGAAATTACTTGAATCTGCGGTTGTGTACACGCGCTGCCAGCGGGAAATAAGAATGCGTAGCGAAATGTTTGTTTTATGGCGAAGAGAGTACCACTCGCGTAAGCGAAATTGGAAAGCCGTTGGAAATGATAGATCGGTGCTTAATTCTTATAAACATACTTAGCTTATATAAACATTCAACATGCATTACCACTGTTTAATTCACGATTAATTCGTTTTATCAATATCCCTACTAATATTATAAATGCGAAAGTCCTGATGTTTGTTACACTTTCACGCAAAAACTACTTAACCGATCATCATGAAAATTTGTACACATATTCTTAGTGGTCCCCGAATGGTTATAGGCTTCTTTTTATTTAATAAAAAAAATATTTTTTAAATAAAATAAAGAAATTGTTTAGCCAATAATACCTAAGCATCTGGCTATTTGACTACTTTAACGCCATCTAGCATTCCAGCAATGAAACTCAAACCTAAGTACTATAGTACCATCACACTGTATTATCACACTGTATTACCGACAGCTACGTCAACATCAAATCCAATTGACTACACTATGGAGACTGTACACTATACTTCCATAGACTATACTTTCAGCCATTCTACTTCATTGTTACTTCTTCTGTGACTACAGACGCGTACGGAAGCAACTTCATTATTTTAGATATTCGCGAGCGAAGCCGCGGGTTAAAGCTAGTCAAAATATATTTTTTTAAATTTAAGTAAAAATTCGCGGAATTAAACGATAAGAAACGAAGTAATAACATAACATGTCAAGGCTCAAGGCTCAAGAGTATAATGCAAGTAATGTTGTTGCTTGTTAAAAATTGAAACCTGTTAAAATAGAATGGAATGTGTTTATGAACAACCCCTAAACAAACAAAAACACGTAATGTTCGAAAGTCAATCCGAATGGGGCATATACAGCCCGCGCTGTAAAACAACGCGAAAATATTTGTCACACACGCGTGCGACGAATTCATTTCACATGCCAATGACAATCAATAAAAGCGCTCTCGCGATTTGGCCCCCGTTTGGGGCTTTCGGCACGCACCGGCAAACACAAACAATGCATTGCGTTCGGGGAGCAGCACATGTTCGCTCCGATGAACCACACCGAAGCGCCAAATTAGTGTGCATTCGTTTCGACGTCGACTTCATAATTTCCCGTTTTGTAATTTCGAACCATTTGAACGTCCTGCGCTGATGCGCATCAGGCATCAGTTATCTGCTTGTACTAGTTGTGCTTCTCTAACCCACAAACAAACAAACAAGTTGCATGAAAGTGGTAATAATGAAGGTTTCATTAATTATTCTAAGTGTTTGAAAAGTTATCTAATTTTTTGACATTTTAATAAAAACCTGGATAAAATTAAATATTTATGGAATTAATTATTTATGCACGCATTTAAAAGTATTGTAGTTTTATTTAATGTTTTATTAGTTTC